TCTGTAGCATCAGCGACCCATTCGCTGGAAAGTCTGTGTTAGCAACAACAGCCACAGTTGAACTTTGCCAGCTGGGACACACAGCAATGAAATCAGCCCGCCAGTGGGAAGAGAGGACGGGGACACTCGCCGCCCTCAGTGAGAACAAGCTGCGGCTGCCTGCAGAGCACGCTGCCAGTGGGTAACAGGCAACCTCAAGCTGAAGCTGAGGCAAGTTAAAACACGTTCAAAGGGGCCAAAGTCTGCCCCACCGGATTTAGAGACCGTCCCAAGAACAGACGTGATGCACTGATGACTAATGAGCAGCGGCTAGACGCTTCGTGGTAGGACATCAGCTACGACAAAATCAAAGGGTCGTTAAAAAGGTGGGATATAAAGATGATCCCCAAATGAATATCAGAAGAGATTCTGAAACTTGCTCTTCCACACAGTGTAGCTATAGCAAATAGACAAAATGATGAATAAAAGAATGGAATAGAGTTCAAATGGGCAGCGTGAGAAGCCCACGTTAAAGTGTTATAATGAAACGTGCTAACACCTGGACTTAGAAAACCCAAAGGGAAGAGTATGCTCAGTACTTCTCAGGCTGAAAGATCTGAAGAAAAAGTCAAGCCTCGAGTTCCAACATTGAAGGATTCTATGGGCAAAGTATTGAGCAACACATGAAGTAGCAAAAGAAGTGGAAGAAATACGCAGAGCCCCTGTAGCAAAAGTAATTGTTCAGCGTTCAATGATCTCAGGAGACAGCATATGATCAATAGCCAATGGTATTGGAGGAGCAAGTGCAAGCTGCACTAAAGGCAAAAAACAAAGTTCCAAGAATTGGCAGAACACTAACAAAGATATTTCCATAAATTGATGCAATACTGGAAGCACTCGCTAGCCTGTGATCGTTAGGTGCCATCGAATCAATTATGACCCATAGGGACCCTGTGCACAACAGAACAAAATACTCCATGGTCCTGCGCATCCTCACTATTGTTCCCATGCCTGCGCCCCTGGTGGCAGCCATGGTGCCCATCCATCTCATTGAGGACCTTCCTCTTTTTCGTTGACCCTCCACTTTACCAAGTATGATGTCCTCTCTAGTCTATGCCAAGAAATTTGGAAGACAGCTACCTGCAAACATACTGGAAGAGAATAACATGTGTCTTATTCTAAAGAAAGATGATCCAAAAGAAAACAAATTATCAAGCTATCTCACATGCAAGGAATATTTTGCTGATGATGATACAAAAAGATGCATCAGAACATCAACTGAGAACTGCTACAAATTCAAGCCAAATCCAAAGAGGGCATGAAGTGAGGGATCCTGATGCCAGTTGTATCTTGGCTGAAAGCAGAGAAGACAAGAAAGATGCTAACCTGTGTTTTATTGACTATAAAAAGGCATTCAACCATGTGGTTCGTAACACTATGGAGGACAGAGACAGAGAAAGGGAATTCCAGAACACTTCATTGTGCCCACATGGAACCTATATCGAGAGAGAGAGGCACTGGTTCAAATAGAACAAGGGGGCACTACCGTGGTTTAAAACAGGAAAAGTGTGCCACAGCATTGTATCCTTTCACCGCCCTATTCAGTCTGCCTACAGAGCAAATAATCCAAGGAGCTGGACTGATGCAGAAGAGCGTGGCCATGGAGGAAGACCCACCAACAACCTGCTCTAAGCAGATACACAACCCTGCTTCCTGAAAGAAAAGGACTTAAAGCACTAACGGATGATGATGAAAGAACAATCTTCAGTGTAGATTGCACCTCAACACTAAGGGGGAGGGGGAAATTCTCACAACTGAACAAAAGAGAGTGCAGAAAATAATGAAATTGCCACAAATTTCATTTATTCGGACCAAAGTCAACATCCATGAAAGTTAATAAATCTAAAAAAAAAAAGAAAAAGAAAGTTAATAAATCTAACGTGCTAGGCATATCTGCTGCCAAAGACCTCCTTAAAGTACTAAAGCAAAGCTGTCATTTCGAGGACTAAGGTGGTCCTGAGAAAACCATGAACTGACTTCAGAATAAGCAAATCTGTCTTGGAAGAAGTGTAGCCAGAAGGGGCCGACCCCAATCCCCCGCTCCACAGAAGAATTCACTTCAGAGGACAGCACTGAAGCTACAGCTCAGGGAGAGGGACACGTCTGATCAGAGCACACAGGAGCAAATGAAGGGGGAGGAAGAGACAGTGGAGCACATCCTGGCCCTCCAAGCCTTGACGACGATATCCCTGCTCAGAGCAGCCAGTGCAGAGAGAAGACGATATGGCCAGCCCCACTACAAGGCACGACATCCCGCACTGACCCATAGCTCTATGGGGACAACACTGGAGATAGTGCGAGAATTGGGCCCAATCTGACCTCACCACACCGAGGCAAAACACTAAGGGCGTGCAACAGAACAGCAAGGGGAGCAGAGCAAGAAAGTCCCGAGGGAATGCCAAAAATAGACTTTGGGGCCAGGGCATGGCACCCCATCAGATTCAACTGGAAAACACTCCTAAAGGTCAACAAACAGACCTTGAACTATTTATAGGCTTTTCTTTTCTTCTTTTGTCATTTTGTTGCTGTTGTTTTCTTTTCTTCCTTTGTTTTGCTCTGTCTTGTTTTTTTGTGCATATTATTATCTCTGCAGGTCTATCTAGATAAGATAGGCAGTATAAACAATCTGGAGGAGAAAACAACAGACCAACGGTTTGGGGTGGTGGTGGTGGTGCGGGACATGGGAGAGGTGGAGGTGGAGAAAAGGAAGTGGGTGTTAACCCCAGGGACAAAGGAACAACAAGTGATCCAAAATTGATGGCGACGAGGGTGTAGGAGGCCTGGAAGGGCTTGATCAAGGGCAATGTAACCGATAGAAATTATTGAAACCTAAATGAAGGCTAAGCGTGATAATGGGACAAGAGGAAAGTAAAAGGAAATAAAGGAAAGATGTAGGAGGCAAAGGGCATTTATAGAGGTCTAAATATGAGTATGTACTTATGTAAATATATTTATACATGATGATGGGAAAATAGATCTATGTGCATATATTTATAGATTTAGTATTAAGGTCGCAGATGGACATTGGGCCTCCACTCAAGTACTCCCTCAATGCAAGAACACTTTGTTCTATTAAACTGGCATTCCATGATGCTCACCTTCCCGACACAATCGCTGAAGACAAATGTGTGCATAAGCAAATGTAGTGAAGAAAGCTGATGGTGCCTGGCTATCAAAAGATATAGCATCTGGGGTCTTAAAGGCTTCAAGATAAACAAGAGACCATCTAGCTGAGAAGCAAAAAAAGCCCACATGGAAGAAGCACACCAGCCTGTGTGATCACAAGGCGTCAAAGGGATCAGGTATCAGGTATCAAAGAATAAAAAATCATATAATTTTATTGAGGGTTTGTGCAGAGTGGGGACCCAAAGCCCATCTGTAAGCAAGTGGACATCCCCTTAAAGAAGAGTCTCGGGGAGGAGACAAGCCAGGCAGGGTGCAGTGTAGCACCGATGAAACATACAACTTTCCTCTAGTTTTTAAATTCTGCCTCCTCGCCACTGTTTCCCAGTTGTACCTTACAAATCCAGCTAGACCAGAGGATGTACACAAATACAGATAAGAACTGTAAACACAAGGAATCCAGGACACATAAACCCCTCAGGACCAATCATGAGAGTAGCAATACCAGGAGAGTAAGGGGAAGGTGGGGTAAAAGGGGGAAACCGATCACAATGATCTACATATAACCCCCTCCCTGGGGGATGGACAACAGAAAAGTGGGTGAAGAGAAACGTCGGACGGTGTATGACATGACAAAATAATAATAATTTATAAATTATCAAGTGTTTGTGGGGCACAGGGAGAGAGGGAAAAATGAGGAGCTGATACCAAGGGCTGAAGTAGAAAGCAAATGTTTTGAGAAGGATGAGGGCAACACATGTACAAATGTGCTCGACACAATGGATGGATGGATGGATAGTGATGAGTTGTAGGAGGCCCCAATAAAATGATTTTTTAAAGGAAAAAAAAAAAAGAAGTGGAGCCAGACTACTCAGAATTAAGCATGAGAAGACTTTTTCTGACATGCTTTGAACATATTCACAAGGAGGAGCAGGGCCTGGAGAAGACGCTCGAGCTTGGTCAAGGAGGGGTCAGGGAAAAGCTGAAACTCCTCAACGAGATGCACTGGCAGCGTCTGCAAGGATGGGCTCAGAGGAAGCATCGAGAGCCGGGCAGGAGCGTTCCGGCGGCGTTCTGCTGCAGGACCGGGCTGCCCTCCGTGGGAAACGGCTCTCAGGCAACAACAACCCTGGCTCAAGATCCTGACGAGTTTCTTTGGCTTCACTCGTGTGCTGGTTTGGTGGCTGGCTCTCCTCACTAAAAGGTGAACTACGTCGGACGCAGGGGTCTTCGTTTAGGCCTTGCTCGGTTGCCCTCCTAGTTTTTAGGCTAGTGCCTGGTACTTGATAACTTGAATACCTATTCCGTGACTGAATTTTCAGTTCCTGTCTCATTTTCAGTGCCTTGAATTTTGTTTGTAAAAGAGGGAGAGTTTCCTCGGCGATTTCAATATTTTTTGTTTTTAAAGTCGAAAGTGATTTAAATTGAAAGCCAGTAAGCGCATAGGTAGATGCCGAACTACCTGGCCCAGCGTGCATCCCGGTTACGACAGCACAGGCCACCATCACGCAACGCAAACTGTAGGGCGGTGCCTGTTCTAGACCCAAACAGCCGACCAATGAGAACGATTGTTTTTTTTAATCATAGAGTTACACCACCCAAATTCCTAGAGAGCACTTCCGGAACGGTGCCCCGGCCAATCTAGGATCCTGGGACAAGTCCGTGTTCCCTATCACTCTCTATGGCTCAGCTTCCGGAAAGGGGCGGGGCTGAGGCGCACTCTTCCCAACCTACATGAGCACAGCTTTGTGATTGGCGAAAAGGCAGGAGGCGGGCCTTAGGGGCGGGCACTGTCTCCGGCGCAGGCGCATTGACCCGGCGCGCCTGTCCTGCGGTCCAAGTTGGCTCCAATTGCAGTTGGTGAGCATGAGTGACAGTGGGGACGCGTAAGGGCGGCGGGCCGCGGAGTGTAGAGGAAACGGGGTTCTGGGAGGCGGAGTTGTAGGACCCGGTGCCTCACGTGCCTCCGCTCCTGGGAGTGCGCGGGGTCAGCATCATAGGAACTGTTGGATAATAATGAGAGCTCCAGGAAGCTCGACTTCGTTGCATCTTTCCGCGAACGCCTTGAAGCCCGTCCTAAGCATCTCCTGCTCCCAGTTTCCTCTGTTGTCGCAGGAGTGCACTACCTTCTGCCTTCTCTGCCCTCGGTCGGTGTTCCGGGGAAGTATTCCAGCAGGAAAAGCCCCGAGGAATTCGACTGTAGTCCAAAATAGGGAGAGCTTCTCCGCGTGTTGATGGCTGAGCCGATTCTTGGAACTCCAGTGTTGGCCTTTGTGCAGCATGGTAAAGGGAAAGAAACTTCTAGGGGATTGAAGCCTAGAACCGCCCAGGTCGGCAGTTTGAACCCACCGGCTGCTCCACAGCCCTCTGCTGTAAAAACTCACCCTAAGAGACCTTCCTCCTCTGCCCTACTGGAATAATACAGGGAGAGGTCAGGGGTCAGGGTGGCCAGTCAGTATGCCGGCTGCCGGCCATGCACAGTGGAGTAAACTAGATGTGGATACTGCCTTCGTGCCGTCCATAGTCTAGAGCCAGGCGCTTGCTGTGGTTTTCAAAGTGTTGTCCCTGGAGCATCAGCCACTGGCAGCCTCTGTGGTGAACTTGTTAGAAATTCACACTCTTGGCCTTTACCTGTAACCTGAGTCAGACACTCCGGGGGTGAGGCCCAGCAATCTAATATAAGCCCTCCTGTGATTGTGATAGTCCTGTAGCAAGGTAGGTTGAAGAGTGCCCCCCACCCCTCCCCCCAGTTGAGGCAGTAAGGAGGAGACGGATAGACGGATGTGAGAGAGATCTCGGGAACAAGTGCACTTGCTTTGGGAAATCAGTGCAGGGTGGGTGAGTTTCTAGCTTGGGCCACTGGCCTGACAGCAGTTGGCAGTAAGTGATGGACGGACAGCACCAGGTCTGACCCCAAGTGTCCTTTATCACCAAAGGCGTCACTTGCCTTTGCACTAGGACTCTGTCTGGGGCAGTACCTCTCAGCGGATTCCAGGCCGTGGGCCACATGGGAAATGATAGTACAGGTACCAGTCACAGAGGTGATGGGGCGGCTGCTTGAGGCTGGAGGGGACCAGCTGGAGGACTTGAGGCTGCTAAAAGCTGGTGGTAACCACCTGGGGACTCCAGCTCCCCAGAACTGAGGGGTCAGCAGCCCATCCTCAGCTGAGGGAACGCAGCCCTTCACGGAGCTTTGCTCTGTGGGATAGACAGGAGTAGTGTTCACTAAGATTTGGCAATTAAAGTCAAGAACCTTTGGGCACTTAATTCCATTCCTGAAAAATCTGCCCTAAGTGTATAACAACACAGCATATGCATGAAAAAGCCCCACTCCTGGCACCCCCCACTGCGTCAGGGTTTTCTGTGCCTCATTGTTCAGGAGAAGGCCAGGCCTTTCTTTCGGGTACCTCCAGGTGAGCACGAATCCTTAACCTTTAGGCTAACAGCCAAGCACATAAGACTGGCACCACCCAGGAGTGCTCACTTTAGACTGTGTACAACAGAAAACCTCACACTTCTCCCCCCAGGAGGTGGGGGTGGGGGGGCGGAGCAAGCAGCAGGGTTGGTTTTTTGTTTGTTTTCAGTACAGTCACTCAGTGGCATAGTGTGTTGCCATTAGAGATGTGTGGATATGTGGCAAAACCCTGCAGAAGCAGCATCTAGCAAACTCCTGGCCTGTGCTGAAGATACAGGTGAGCAAGTTAGACAGGGCTCCCAGCTGCACAGAGCCGAGTGCCTAAGGACAATAGACTAGCAAAGTGAGTCAGGCACCCCAGAGGGTGACTGGTGTGTGACAGGTGGTCGAGTGAGGGGCTGCTGCAGAAGAAGCCAGTACAGAAATGGGCTAGGAAAGGTTTCCTGGGGTCAGGATGGTAATCCCAAGGCCTGGAGATGACTAGGTGTCGGGAGGCAAAAGGTGAGGAGCGCTCTGTGCATAGTGGACTTGGTGTTTCAAAGCGAGCGTGTGGCAGGGGAACGCAGAGGTCAGTGATGAAGGACAAGGCCAGAGTGACCCGGCTGCCACCTCCCAGGGGGTGGGGCATGCAGACTGAGCAGGCAGAGGTTTAGGTCTTATTATAAGGCCTTGGGAGGCCATTGGAGGTCTCTGAGCGAGACTATCTACTGCAGGCTGTGCTGTAGTACCTCTCCCGTAGCTTCCATGTGGGGAGTGGATTGGTGTAGGAGAAGTGAGGAGGCCGATTCAGTAGCCCAGTGAGAGGTGATGGTGCCCTAGCCCTGGGAGGGCACTGTGGCAGCGGGGCAGACTCCGCAGTAGGGGATGAGGTAGGGTATGAAAGACGAGGGTGCTGACCAGTGTGGGCCAGAGGGAGCGAGCATGGGGGAACAGGGAGGGAGCTGAGTTCATTCTGGGAACCCTGAAGTCCCCGTGTGAGCTGGTCCCTATGGGTGAGCGGGTGGTAGGATGTGTCCCTTGGAAGCACAGGAGACACTTAGAGTGAGGGTGTTCTGAGTCGGCACCTGGGCCTGACATGAGGTGTGTGAGCTGTAAGGAGAGATGAGCCACAGCGTGGGGAAGAGATGCGGGATGCTGGCAGGACCCAGGTTGCCTGCTGTCTCCTGACACTGTTGTTTTGATCATACGTGGGAACATCATCATTCTTTTAAGCAGCAGTCAGAGGTAAGAAAAGTCGTCCTTGGGCTTGCTGGGCTATTGGAAAGGAGAAGCTGTGCACCGGCAAAACTGGTGGCGGTCTAAGACGCGTGTGTGTTGGAGACCAGGCCTCGAGGTGCGGGCACAAGTCTAAGGCTTCTGTTCCTGCAGGCGCAAGTGTTTCCCTGGGCTGGGCCGGCATGGAAGCACTGCTGGCAAGATGGCGAGCGTTGCCCACCCTGGCCACCTGCAGGCTTCACCACCGCGCGCCCGGGAGAGGAAAGCTCTTGACGCTGTCCCGCATGTTCCAGCCGCAGAGGCTGCGGGAAGACCAGGTGCTGTCCCTGGAGGGCAGACTTGGTGAGCTGACCTGTAAGAGCCAGCGGCTGATGCTTCAGGCGGGCCTCATCCACCCGGCGAGCCCCGGCTGCTACCACCTTCTGCCGTACACCGTGCGCGCCCTAGAGAAGCTCGTGCGGGTCATCGACCAGGAGATGCAGGCCATCGGGGGGCAGAAGGTCAACATGCCCAGCCTGGGCCCGGCAGAGCTCTGGCGTGCCACCAGCCGGTGGGACCTGATGGGCAGGGAGCTGCTCAGACTCCGAGACAGACACGGCAAGGAGTACTGCTTAGGACCCACCCACGAAGAAGCCGTCACGGCCCTGGTCGCCTCCCAGAAGACGCTGTCCTACAAGCAGCTGCCCCTCCTGCTGTACCAGGTGACCAGGAAGTTCCGGGATGAGCCCAGGCCCCGCTTTGGCCTTCTCCGGGGTCGGGAGTTTTACATGAAGGACATGTACACTTTTGATGTGTCCACGGAGGCCGCCAGGCAGACCTACAGCCTGGTGTGCGGCGCCTACAGCAGCCTCTTTGATAGGCTGGGGCTGCCGTGCGTCCAGGTGCAGGCAGATGTGGGCAGCATCGGGGGCACGATGTCTCACGAGTTCCAGCTGCCAATGGATGTCGGCGAGGACCGGCTCTCAGTCTGCCCCAGCTGTAGCTTCTCAGCCAACAGGGAGACCCTCGACCCATTGCAGACCCACTGCCCTGCGTGCCAGGGACCGCTGACCGAAACCAAAGGCGTGGAGGTGGGGCACACATTCTTCCTGGGCACCAAGTACTCTGCTATCTTCAACGCCCAGTTTGCCAGTGTCCAGGGCACGCCGTCGCTGGCTGAAATGGGCTGCTACGGTCTGGGGGTGACGCGGATCTTGGCTGCTGCCATCGAAGTGCTCTCGACAGAGGACTGCATTCGCTGGCCGGGCCTCCTAGCCCCTTACCAAGTCTGCCTCATCCCCCCCAAGAGGGGCAGCAAGGAGGAGGCAGCGGCCACGCAGCTGGTGGGGAGCCTGCAGGATCACATCATCGAGGCGGTGCCAGGGCTCTGCGGCGAGGTCGTGCTGGACGACCGGACTCACCTGACCATTGGAAACAGGGGAAAAGACGCCAACAAGCTTGGTTACCCCTTTGTGGTCATCGCTGGCAAGAGGGCCCTGGAGGACCCACCCCATTTTGAAGTGTGGTGCCAGAACACCGGTGAGGTGATCTTCCTCACCAGAGAAGGGGTCGTGGAATTACTGAGCACGGTGCAGGTTGTCTGAACGCCACTAGCCCCCAGCACACACACACACACACACACACACACACACACACACACACACACACACACACACACACTCCCCGTGGTCACGTGACAGCTGCATTGTCGTTGTTGTCCCCACCACTCCTGCCCTGGGCAGGCTGCTCCCAGAAGGCAAGACTGTGGCCCCAGTAACCAGCTGCTATCGCCTCCACCCTGACCCGGAGTGGCCCGAATGTATTGGAGGAGCACTGTGCCCCCCACAGGTTTGTTTTTCTGGAAGGAGATCGCCACGCCTTTCTTATGAGGCTCTTCTAAGTGGACTCAAGCCACCAACCTTTCAGTTAACATCCAACACCAAGCTGTCTGTGCCACCCAGCGACTCCTCAAGACTGTTAGGAAAAAGGTTTGTTCTTAACCCGATCGCACGTTCAAACTGTTGGCATTGAAAGTTGTTAACACGGTCTCTGTGCCTGGACCAGCCCTGCTGTCTACCACGCATCACTCCACTGGGGGAGCTTCTCTGAGCAGGCTGAGAGGACAGAAGGAAACCTAAGTTCTAGTTTTGTCCCTGGGGGTAGCTGAGGGCCGTCCTCCCTCCGTCTGCCAGCCTGTGACTCCAGGCCTCCTGCTGGCTCAGGCCAGAGCCCGCCCTCAGCCCTCCTCCACTGAGGGTGCGGGGGAAGGACTGGGGGATCTGACCCTGCCACCAGCTCCCTGGGGACGTGGACCTGCCCCGCCCTCGGCCGGGCCCTGGAATCCCAGCAGCTGTCCCTGGGTAGCTCCTTGAGACGTGCGTGGCAGGCAGCACCGGCCCCTCCCACCCTCCGTGGCCGATGGGACCCAGGAAGTGATGCTCTAGCTGGGGGCGCCCTCCAGGGAGCTATCTATTGAGGAGCATGGGTGTGGATTCAGTAGTCAAACTGCTGGGCCCATGTTGACCGGAAGCAGCAGTCTTGCTGTTTGTCCGCTGTGACGCTTCCCGTCTGGAGCCGCTCCTCTCCCTGCCTCCTGCTCAGAGCCCACCAGCACCAGACCCACGGAGGCCAACTGACCCCGCAGGGGCTGGAGGGTTCTGTCCTGCAGGCCTCGGGAGACACCCTGCAGCTACACGCCTCGGAGCCCTAGAGGCAGAGTTGGCCCCCAGGGCCATGCCCAGCGTGGCCGTGGCAGGGTCTCAGCCAGCCTTCATTGAGACACGGAGTGCACGCCTCTTCTCGCGGAGTGCCGCCTGCTCTCGTGGCTCCCACATCCACATTGGGTCGTGGCCCCCGTGGGGTCTGACGTGTCTCATTCCCACAAGACTGTAGGCCCAGTTCAAAGCCACACCTTCAAAACAGCCCTGGCGGCCCTTGGAGGAGGCTGTCCCCTCTGTCTGGTGGCCCTGGTCACACTCCTGCTTCCTGTGGCACCAAGCTCCTTGCGGGGCCTAGCCAGCCTCTTGAGGGTGGCGAGCCCCTGGGGCCAGGCTCCAAGCCCGAGCCCGTAGCTGGTGCCCTGTCCCTGTTTGGACCCTTGGGCCCACCGGTCAGCTTAGCTCTGCTGGAGCACCTCCACACCCGGACACAGCCCGGTCTCTTCACAGATGAGCCCGCCAAGCCCCAGTGCGTCCCGGTGTCGTGGCCTGCTGTCCGGGACTCTGAGTAGACGTAGGCACACTCGCTCTTGGACCCTGATGGCACATTGGCGTCGTCTGCGTGTGGCACCCCCCACCCCGATTTTTAAAGCTCCCGGGCTATTCTAGCAGGCAACCAAAGTTGGGTCCGAGCCTCTGGCGTAAAGTTCAAGTCACAGCAGGCACTTCCATGACTAACCGGAGCCCGCTGTCTCTAGTGTCTGCCGCTCCTTTGGTGAGGGCCTGCCGGGGGCACGAGGCTGTGGGTCTCCAGACACGGCGGTTCTGCAGGGTGGATGCCGTGGCTCCCGTTTCCCGAACCCCAGTGGAGGCATCCTGATGGCTAAGCTAGTGTTGCTTCCCAGAGGCAGCGGCAATGTGGTTTGGCAGAAAGAGCAGACCCTGGAAGGCACAATCCTAGACCCACCACTTTGCAGGCCTGTGACTCAGGCCAGTACTTACTGTGTCCATCTCATGGGACGTCTGTAAGATAAGATCCCCTCATAGCGGCGCAGCTGGGGGTCGACTGAGCTTACTGAAGTGAACGCCCCCTCCTCCCCAGCCCTGTCATGTGCTCTCCGGAGACACCTCCCTTAGACCACGTGAGTTATATCACCCCACCGGGAGCCCGGTTCCGCTGTGAGTGTTGTCATCTTGCGACCCGGGTGTCTTGTTTCCTGGATCCGAGGCTTACAGCCTTCCTGGACGTTCCACCAGCAAGAAGGAGGCCCACGGGCAGGAAGGCTGCATCTCCTCGGAGGGAAATGGGAAAGAGTAAACTGCCGCCTCGTTCCTGTCCCTGCCCCCTCGTTACTGAACTTGCCAGCTTTACCTCTCGCCACACACTGAAACGGAGATGCAAGATAACAGGTACAGTCTGTATTGTCACGGCTCTTCCTTGGGGAGATCGAGCAGCAACCGGCTGGGAACTATTTAGCAGAATTAATACTTGGGGACAAAGGCAGATGCATAACAAAACCATCCTGTAAATCAAGCCTGGAATGTAAATCAAGGGCTCCATCAATGTTCTGGGTTTTAATGGGGAAAACACCTGCTGGGCTGTCAATAAAAGAGCTCTGCAGAAATCTGTTAGATTGTCATCTTAACTACTTGAGTGCCAGGCCTCTGCAGAGGCCCACGGCCCAGGCACACATCAGCATGCTTTGTGTTGGGGGATTGTAAAGCTTGCTTATGATGTGGGAACGGAGGGAACCCTTTCATGAGACCATTAGGAGAGATGGGGGAGAATCAAGGGGCTTCTACCAAAAGGGCCTGGAGGCAGCAGCTGGCCTCTGAGGACAGACAGACTCCGCCATCAAGTCCATTCTGGCTTGCAGTGACCCTGCGGGCACTGTCACCCTATACAGGAGTGGAGAGCCTTACGTCTCGAGAAGCAGCTGGTGGTGTGAAACTGCTGACCTTACAGGGAGCAACCCAGTGCTTACCCCACTGCGCCACTAGGGCACCACCCGACTATGGGGTGGGGGGTTGTCAAATTCCTCAGCCCAAGGCCGATTGCTATGAGGCAAAGACCAGACACGGCCTCCACCCTTCTTTATGAATGCCGACACCACCCCCTCCCACGGCACTCTTGCCTCTGCCAGCTTCCATGAGTCATTGCAGCGGCCACACAGCTCACAGACCATGCTCGTGAGTTATGGGCTTTATCGGGGAAGTCAACAGGTTACATTACAATTCAGGATCAGAAATGCTTAAGCTACACATCTGGGGTCAGGACAGCGTCTTCCCAGCCATGCCTGCAGGCAGGCTGCTCTCGCCCTCCGTCTCTCAGCCACACTGCCTCTCGTCTCTGCCTGGCTAAGCAAATACTTCAAAGCTCTTTAAGTGCTGCTAATAAAGTGCCCACAGGGCACCCCACTCTACCCAAGCCCTTGGCATGAGAGCACTCGGGCTCTAGCTCTGAGGGTCAGCATGCCTAGCTTCCCCCCAAGCCAGTCTGCCTGAAGGCAGTCTACTTACCCTGTGGGCTGGGAAGCGCACTGCTGTCTCGGCTGCAGCCACTTAGTGGTCTAGCCCTCTGCCTGGATCTAGGAAGTTCAGCATACAGGGATCTTGGGGCCCAAAGGACATGCTCCTGCCTAGATAATCATTCTTAATAGTAGTGCAATCCCCACTTCCTGCTTCTGAGCTGGCTCATTTTATACCCAGTGTGATGGCACAATCGACCAACCCTCACATTAGAGTTGTAAGGCTTTGCACTCACAATTAATCCTGAACCATATCCCAGACCCATCCAGAAAAAGGTGTTTGGTGGGAACTGCAAAGACTCAAAGAGCCTCATCAAGGAATTCACTGCACCACACCGTCACTCAATTTTAAATAACACCAGTCAGCTGTTAGACTGCCTGTACTTAATGGCTCATGCATTACCTGGTGTGAGATCCATGTTCATACTCTTGTTCTTCAGTTTCCTCACCTGTAAAGTGGGAGAACAGGTGGGTGGGTGGTGCTTGGGACTCCGCAGGATGGGGAGGCACCATCCCTGTGCAGGTGTGGTGCCCATCTTGGTCAAGCCAGCAGTTCTTTGAATGAGGATGCTCATTCAAGGCTTTGAATGCACTTCCTTGGTGGAGCTAGTGGATGTTGGCTAATGGTCCTCACCAGTTAATGGTGATGGAGGGCATGGCCATGTCTTTAGAGGCAGAGATGGCTGCCGAGACCCAAGAGCACACGTGGTGAACTTGGGGATCCCCACTGGTGGGGTGTCATGAGCTGCGGGCCCAGAGAGGTCCCAAGCAGATGGGTTGGGGATGTTCCATGATAGTGCCAGCTCGGAGTAGGAGGCGAGGGGAACTGGGTTGACTGCTAGCTCCCTAGGAACAGGGACTGGGTCTTGTTCCTATCAGTATTTTCCAAAAGGCTTAGGAGAATCCCGAGTTCAAGTTCTGGCTCTACTTTGCATCAGCTAGCTGCCTTTGGGCTGGTTATTTGACCTCCTTGTACCCCTATCTTGACAGTAAAAGGGTGCTAGTGCAAATATCTGCTTCACGGGGTTACTGGGAGAATGAAATGAATCCATGCAGCACCCCCAGAATGGTACCTGGCATATTGCAGATGTTCAAGACCTAGAAGCTGGTGTTATAGAACCAAGCTTGCTTCTCCTCTGGAGTATGCCCCTGCAAGTCTCCTCACCTTTGCTGTGCTCTGGCCCACACCTAGAAGGTCCTCCCATCTCCCTCCACCCCCAGTTCCTTTGTCACCTTTGTGCCCAAATCCATCCCGGGTCAGGTCATGAGCTCTCCTGTGTTCTTCATTCCCACCTCCGTCCGTCCACCAGGGCTGACTTGTTGTGCACCTACTATGTGCTGAGCAAGTGCTTAGTTAGGCCTCTGTTGTCAGATGCCAAGTTGGTTCACAGGCATGCATAGTGACCCTACGCACAACAGAATGAAACACTGCCCAGACCTGCGCCCTCCTCAGTTATGTCTGAGCCCGTTGTTGCAGCCACTGTGTAAATCCATCTCCTTGAGGGCCTTCCTTTCTCACTCACCAAGCATGATGTCCTCCTCCAGCCTCCAACCACTGAAGGGTCAGTAGGCGCAATCTCATGGCGAGGATACATAAAGATCATTGTAAAGTCATAGAGGATAGGAAAAACAGGAGAATAAAATAAAGGAGTCAGACACATTTTATGGTCGCATGCTCACCTCAGCCCCTCTTGGTGGTCCACGTGGGAGTGGGAGAATAGAGAGTGTCTTTACTATCTTGGGGTATTTATAGGTAGCCATGCATATTCAGTAGTTACATCCGCCACAAGGTGGGAGGAATCTACACCTGAGCTCACAGGTAAGGAAATAGAATACCTACACTGGAGGAAGGCAGGGGTGCTGGGTGACATGGCGGCGAGATCGCAAAAGGGTGTCTGCTTCTGTAGAGAGATACAATCAACCAGGAGCTCCCTTTAAGGCAGCAGAGCTGTTAGGGGAGAATCTGTGGGAACCTATAAGTAAAGCAGGATAATGTACTTAGACTTTAACTTAACCAAAGTGGTGGCTTTCCTACTGTGGAATACTAGCTTTCCAAATTCCCTGTTATAAATCAGGGAATATAGTCATCATATTTCCCCGAGTGTTAGTTTCCCACATCCAGGGACTTGCCTCTTCTGATAACGTACAGAACTGCACTTGGAGAAACTATCAAGTATACAGACGTCCAGTAAAGGTGCAGGTGCCACGGAATACGTGGGATGAGGAGCCAGAGAGAGCTTCGGATGCGAATGAAGGCTAGGTGTTAAAAAGTTAATGGGGGGGAACTGTCTGCGGAGGGAGGAGCAAGTGGGAGGAAGAGTATACTTGGCAAAGGGAACAGAATGTGCAAAGGCCCAGAGCTAAGAGCATGCAAGGTTGGGGGATAAGAAGTAGCAGTGTCATAGATTGAACCCTTAATGTGAGGCGCACTCTGCTATTTGCTTCACCTGATTCATTCAGTCTATCCTCATAACACCAGCACAAGGCCAATGCTGTTAGCCTACTAATAGCCACTTATAAGGAAGCCAAGAGCCTAGCAGAGTGTGCAAGGCCACACAACTCGGGCACAGCACGGCTGGAATTGGAATCCAGAAGCCTGGCTCTGGAGCCCTCTCTTTTAGCCACTGCAGCCCCCGCCCCAGTACTGAAATATGTCCAGGATGTCTGGAATGGCCTCGAATGCTGGGCACGCATGCTGCTGAGGGGAGGGGGTGCCGCTGAGGGCTGAGAGCAGGGGCGTGCATGGACTTGCTTGTGGCGGGATTTCTTTTCATCCAGGGTTAGAATAATCATACCCACTCAGCAGCAGGGCCATGATGGGAGAGGCTGCCGGAAAAACTCAACCTTGATGGCCTGTCGGAACCAGAAAACAAAAGGGTTCTGACTCACAGCGACCCCGTAGAACAGGGCGGAACTGCCTCTTTCTGGGAGTAGGAAGCCTTGTCTTTCCCCAAGGGAGCAGCTTGTGGTTCTCAACTGCTGCCCTCGCTGGCAGTAACCCAACACGGAACCACTGCACAGCCAGGGCGCCATTAAAGGTTTGCCAAGCAAACACCGAAGCTGCACTGAAGGCGCTAGCAAGCAACAAGGCTCCAGGAAGTGACAGAATTCCAACTGGGATAATGCAGCTGGCAGAGGCTGCCCTGGAGCCACCCACCTGGATCTCTTCCAGTGGGCTGGCCGGGTAGCTGTCTTCCCAATGCCCATTACTAAACAAGGGGATCCTGCACAACACGGAAATTATGGACCAGGACCAGAAATATACACACGGAAAATTTTGTTGAAGAACATTTTTTAATGGTTGCAACAATACATTAACAAGGAGCTGCCAGAAATCCAAGCCAGATTCCGAAGAGGACGTGGCACCAGGGCGATCACTGCTGATGTCAGATGGATCGTGGCTGAAAACAGAGACTACCTGAGAGATGTTTTACCATGTTTGATGGACTGTTCAAAGGCATTCAGCTGTATGGATCATAACAAACGAGTAATATTGCAAAAAGTGAGGATTCCAGAACGCTTCGTTGTGCTCATGCAGCGCGTGTACATGGACTCAGAGGCAGTGATTCGCACAGAACAAGGGAATGCTGCCTGGCTTAAAACAAGAAAGGTGTGTGTCAGGGCTACATCCTCTCACCGTTCAACCTGCAAGCTGAGCAAACAATCCAAGAAGCTGGGCTACGTGAAGAAGAACATGGGATCAGAATTGGAAGAAGCCTCATTAGCACACATGACACAACCCTGCCTGGTAGAAACCAAGAGGACTTGAAGCACTCACCGATGAAATCGAAGACACCTCAACGTAAATTTTTAAAGAAAATCCTCACATTGGGCCAGTAAACAACATCATGATAAAAGGAGACAAGATGGAGGTTTTCCAGAATTTCATTGTACTTGGATCCACAATCAACACCCCTGGAAGCAGCAGTCAGGTGACATGTTGCCTTGGGGAAAGTTTGCTGCAAAAGACCCCCTGCAAAGCGTTGACTAGCAAGGCTGTCACTTTGAGGACTGAGATGCTCCTGACCCACCCAGGGTGCCGTCAGTGCCTCGTTCACAGGTGATAAACTGGAAAACTGCAGTGGCTGCCTGTGGATGACG